CGCAGATAAACCCTGGCTGTCCGGACGGCTTAACCGACTTCGCCACCCGAAGCCCCTCTTCCATCTCCTTTTGGTCGACATATTTGACAACAATTTGTTCATCCGTTTATGTGCTGAGCCCTGTTGTTTTTCATCATTTGGCTCTTTGAACAATGTTATTATAAACATGTATGTACATCAGTTTATTTGAGTACCGTTTTTCAATTATTGGCATGACTCCACAGGTAGAATTTCAGGAAGTCCTTGGTAGTTCCATATTAATGCTTGGAGGAATCAGCTCCCACAGTGGTTTAGCCATGACGATTCCTGTTCACAGTGTATGAGAGTTCAGCTCTCCATAACTTCAGAAACATTGGTTTTGGCTTTTTCTAAAAATTATTACTCATGCAATGGCTGTGAGTGTTATCTTATAAGGTGGTTTTGCTTTACTTCCTCACCATGTATGATGTTAAAATCTTTCTGTGGCTTCTCATATCCTTTGGGAAATGTCTGTTCATAATTCTTTGCCTCTCCCCTACTTTTTTTTAAACATAAGGTTGTTTCCCTTTGTTGCTGAGTTGTAAGAGTTATCTATGTATTCTGGATATTAAACCCTTATCCAGATATATGATCCAACACTTTGTGAACCATTTAGTTGTCTTTTTTCACTTTCTTGAGGAAGATACTTTATGTACTTAGAAGTTTTTATCTTTGATAAATCAATGCTTAGTTTTCTCTTTGTTTGTGTTTTAAGAAGTTTCATTTCTAAATCCATTGCTAAACTAAGGTACATGAAAGATTTAGCTTATGTTTCTTCTAAGACTTTTTTGTGCTATGGTGTAAGAAGAAGTGACATGTAAATTATATTTATAAATTTTAAAGACAGTTAAAGTAAAAAACAATAAAATAAATAAAAATTAAAAAAAGATCTTTCAGGAGCTGGGTGCGCTGGATGATGAATGCGTTAAGCGTCCGACTTCAGCCAGGTCATCATCTCCGTGTCCGTGGAGTTCGAGCCGTGACTCAGGTCCCTGATGGCTAGCAGAGCCTGGAGTACTCCGATTCCGGTCTCCCTCTCCTCTCTGCCCCTCCCCGTTCATGCTCTGTCTCTCTGTCCCAAAAATAAATAAATCGGACGCTTAACCGACTGCGCCACCCAGGCGCCCCTGAAAGTCTTTTTTTATTCTTCAATTTTTTATTTTATTGTTTTTTACTTTTAACTGTCTTAAAAATTTATAAATATAATTTACTGTCACTTTCTTACACCATACACAAAAATAAAAGTCTTAGAAGAAAACATAGGGGCTAAATCTTCATGCCTTGGATTTAGCAATGGATTCTTAGAAATGAAACTTTAAAAGCACAAACAGCAAGAGAAAACTAGATGCATTGGATTTTATCAAAATTAAAAACTTCGTACATCAGAAGACATTCCCAAGAAAGTGAAAAGACAACCTAAATGGTACAAAGTGTTGGGAAATCATATATCTGATAAGGGTTTAATATCCAGAATACATAGAGAACTCTTACAACTCAGCAACAGAAAGGGAAACAACCTTATGTTTAAAAAAGGGGCCGGTGCGGGGGAGAGGCAAAGAATTTGAACAGACATTTCTCCAAAAAGGATATAGAAGCACATAGAAAGATTTTTAACATCATTAATCATGAGGGAAATGCAAAGCAAAACCACCATAAGATACCACACTACACAGCCATTGCATGAGTATAATTTTAAAAAGACAAAACCAAAACCAATGTTTCTGAGGTTATGGAGAGCTTGGAACTCTCATACACTGTGACAGGAATGTCATGGCTAAGCCACTGTGGGGAGCTGATTCCTCCAAGCATTAAATATGGAACTACCATAGGACCCTGAAATTCTACTCGTAGATACATGCCTAAAATAATTGAAAACAGGTACTCAAATAAACGGATGTACATACATGTTTATAATAACATTGTTCAAAAGAGCCAAATGATGAAAACAACCCAGGTGTCCATCAGCACATAAACGGATGAACAAATTGTTGTCAAATACTATGCGACCAAAAAGGAGAATGAAGAGGGGCGCCTGGGTGGCGCAGTCGGTTAAGCGTCCGACTTCAGCCAGGTCACGATCTTGCAGTCCGTGAGTTTGAGCCCCGCGTCAGGCTCTGGGCTGATGGCTCAGAGCCTGGAGCCTGTTTCAGATTCTGTGTCTCCCTCTCTCTCTGCCCCTCCCCCGTTCATGCTCTGTCTCTCTCTGTCCCAAAAATAAATAAATGTTGAAAAAAAAAATTAAAAAAAAAAAAAAAAAGGAGAATGAAGAACTGATGTACACACGAACCTTGAAGTCTTATGTATGTTAAAGAAGCCAGACACAAAATGTTACATGTTGTATGATCCCATGAAATATCTCGATGGGTAAATCCGTAGAAACAGAACGCAGACTTGCTGTTGCCAGAAGATTTGGGGAGCGGGGAATAGGAGTTACTAATGCTTACTGGGTTCCCCTGAGGATGGTGAAAACGTTTTGGAATCAGTTACAGGTGGTAGGTGTACAATATTGTGAATGCATTAAATGCCACTAAGTTATTCACTTCAAAATGGCTAATTTTATGGAGGTGCCTGGGTGACTCAGTTAGTTAAGCGTCTGACCCTTGATCTCAGCTCAGTTCTTGATCCCAGGGTCATGAGTTCAAAAACAAAAAAAAAAAGAAAAGGAGAATATTATGTAATATAACTTGACTTTGAGAAAAAGGAAAAGAAAAAAGAACAAAATAGTGAGTGTCTCAGGCCTACAGGTTTTTCCCCTCAACTTGTAGTTTTATTTTTTTATTTGAATTTTAGCTTTAGTTTTAAGGAAACATTATAACCATAGTGTTTTTTTCATTTTACATAAGAAGCTAAATATTATTTCCTATCACTGCTTTAAATCAAGCTAATATAAATCAACTGATAACAGCTATGTGAAATGCCAATCATTTTGTAATAATATAGTGGATTATTAGTAGTATGCTAGGCATATCAACAGAAAATGATATAATTTCATATCTGAATGTCACAATTTATATTACAAAATTTCATGAAGTTCTAAATGTAGAAAATATAAGTGACCTAAAGTGTCAAAATTTACATCTTGGTTTTAATTGGCTGTGGGGTAAAATATCATTGATCTGGTATACATGAAGCAAATTTTAATGGATATTATAAGCCTGCAACAATCTTATAGACCTCATTGCCCTCTAACATAGAATAAAAACAGAGTAGAAGAATTAAAGATAAATCAAAATATACAATGAAATTTAATGGAAATGGAACATATGTTTATTTATTTGGATTGGGTTGGGATGGGTTGGGATTTACTATTCATAATTTTAATTTAATAATCTATGACAGCATTTGTTTTTTTATAAGAAAAAGTGAAACTCCACCCAGTGATAACATAGTCCTAGAAATAATGCTTCACATGTACAAAATCTTATTTGTGTATCTTTTCTCCAGTGAATAATCACAAAACAACAAAAAATAAAACTTTCACTTTTGAGTTTATTTATAAAAATCAATTCATTGTCTGCATTTACATGTGCGTTTGAATGCATGAACGCATGTGAGTATTTCAGGGTGAGTGAGGGCAGTCATTATATTAGAGAAAATGCCACCCTCTTTTGTAGTATATTGATTTATTTTAATTCAGTGTGAACTTTCACTAGATACCTCTTTATGACATTAACAAATGGTACTTAAGCGTCTGTCTCTGCTAACTTCAGAAATTCTTGGAGAAAAGAACATTGTTCTGGTCAACCCACACAATCTAATTCACTTTTGCTAAAATGTATACAAAATCACGGATGTGTTTCTAAGTTTTATGAAATCACTGAATTATCAATTCATGAAAGACACTCATGTGTAGCTCAGTGTTTTGCTACAACTAAGACATTCTTCAAAATGAATTATTTTCATTTTTATATACCAAAATATATTTCACACACCAAAGGGTTAAAAATTTCCATATCTCTAAAGTCTCTACAGTAATATAAATTTTTACTAATCACTGTATTAAAAATTAAAATTTCTAGTGTATCACAGAAAGCAAAGCTATGTAAGAATGGTTAAAGAAAAACGTGAAATAACCCTGTCTAATAACATCAAATTATGTTATTTTATATTTAAAATTATTATTTTACAACAGCATAAGAATAGATATATTTATTCTTAAATTACTCAATAATTGTATGAGTAATGAAGGTTTTAAAAGAAAAATAATGAGTGAAGAAGTTAACAAAGCCATAGGTTTGCCTGATAAACCTCTGAGTGAAAATAAAACATTTCTGAGGATAAAGTTACTAAGCAAAATAAATATAATGTCATTCCTATTCAAGAAATGGACACTGTCAGTAATGTAAATTCATTAGGAATTGACTTTGATGGCCTTTCTACTCTTAGATTAATTCATCATTTTCCTGAGACACATCAATTACCACTCTGTCACATTAGTTTTCTGAAAATGACCCACTGTGTGACCTGAAGGAAGAGAGTCAGTTGCCAGGATGATTTAAGAAAACAAGCCTCCAAAAAGCTCCACAAAAGGCATGTTGACTAGTTCACGGGGCTTTACCCCATAGAATACTGACCACTTTTTCCAATAACTTTTCACTTCAAAACGTGTTATTTGGAATGGAGAATACAAACACTGCATATCTACAGAATCAAGGCTATCCAAGTACAAACCTCCCTGTCACTGAATAAAGTAGGTAAAGCAAATGAGCATTGAAAGGTATCATTTTTAGAAAAATGGTTGGGAATTATAACTCTACTTTTCTCCATTACAGCAAAATCAGGACATATTTTGATAAATATTAGCCTATATGTGTTTGCTCCCATTTTGGTTATTCTGTTATGTCCTCTCACTTTATAGTCAGCACAAATTCCACTTTTCCCTTCTTCTTCCCTCATTTGTCTTCTCTTGTCCTCTCTTCTCTCCTCTCCTCTCTGTCCTCCTAAAAGTTCCTGGAAACGAACAAAGGGAGGAAGAGAGGTGGAAGTAAAAGCTCAAAAAGAGATTAGATTTGGTGAAGTCCTTCAAGTTTTTTCTTTTTCTTTTCCCCAAGCCCTGAAGATGTTATTTTCTTAACCTCATGATTTATGGGTTGTCTTGAAACTTACTTCTCTCTGTGTCTCTCATAGGCATGGTCCCATCTCTCATATATCATATTGATTAGTAATTTTGCAATGTATTCATTAAAAGTTCAGGTGTGCTGCTGTTTTTGTTTTTTAATTGTAAAAAATTGATGCACACGTAGCCTTAACATAGGACAGGAAAACAACCACAATATGGACATTCATGTGATGAGATCATCTGTGTTGACGAGAATCTTTGTCTTTAAATTAACAGTGCAATTTATGGGGCGCCTGGGTGGCGCAGTCGGTTAAGCGTCCGACTTCAGCCAGGTCACGATCTCGCGGTCCGTGAGTTCGAGTCCCGCGTCCGGCTTTGGGCTGATGGCTCAGAGCCTGGAGCCTGTTTCCGATTCTGTGTCCCCCTCTCTCTCTGCCCCTCCCCCGTTCATGCTCTGTCTCTCTCTGTCCCAAAAATAAATAAACGTTGAAAAAAAAAAAATAAATTAACAGTGCAATTTAAAATTAAAAGCTGTTTTCTTTAAAAATCTATTCCCTGTAATACTGAAGCCAAAATATGCAAAAATGTAGGCAAAATATAGCACTCTATATATTTCAAATATATATGCAAAATTCTTCCCCTCTTGTATAATAAGGATTTATACAAAAAAATCATCAAACAATGAGAATGTTACAGTTCAAGAAATTAACACAATTTATCGATATGGAGATTTCTATGAATACCCGGTAGTTTTGTGTCTGTCACAGACATTTGTTAAATGCAATAGATATAAATATAATGTAGTAAGAGAACTTACACCTCTTTTAGAGACTGATAACTGAGTGGTTACTGTTTTATCACTTACATGCCAACACTTATTTCCACTATCTCCCTCATATACAGTATTTATATCCATATAGATATATGTTACTTCTATATGATAATTATATACCTATATACACATGATACTCCTATATGGAACTTACATGCATAGTTTATATACATATAAATTAGGTTTTATTAAAATAATATTAAAATTAAAATTTAGTTTCATGTTATAATAAAATCTGCACTATTCTCTGGACTTAGGCATGTTCTATATGCAGCTTTGATCCGTTTGGCATTTGGGGACACAATCTTGATCCCAGTGGGGATCTCTGTGGCACCAAGGATTTTGACCTGCAGCTGTTCTATGATAATTACTTTGGTTCATGTAGGGAGTCTGAATTCTTTTTTAAAAAAAAAAATTTTTTTAATGTTTATTTATTTTTGAGACAGAGAGAGACAGAGCATGAATGGGGGAGGGGCAGAGAGAGAGGGAGACACAGAATCTGAAGCAGGAAGTCTGAATTCTTAATGAAGAGTAAGAATCACCAGCACCTCTTTCTGATCGTCAAGATAATATATACTTGAGGAATAGTTTTCTGATGGATGAACACACCCACTGGGTTGGTTAGGCCTTCCAGAATCTTCTCAGTTTCCAAGTTGTGTTTAGTTCTAAGTGAAGAACTGCACTTGTCTCAAAGACCCCAGGGACGGACTCTGTGCCCTGTTGACAGGACATGCTGATTGGTATATACCAATCGTATATACCAATATATATATACAATGGTATATACCAATGCCAGTTCCAAACAGCCCCCAATCAACTCTCGTATTTCCTGACATACTTTATGTTATAACATTTAGTATGGAATCAAAATGAAATAGGATTAATTACTTCGCCTGTATTCCCATTCTACTTTATTCTTAGCAATCAACACGATGTCCTATTGATAATGATTTATGTATTTATATAGACTTTAAGCCCATTCTGGGCAGGGATAATGATTCGTTCATCTTCACATCACCCACAGAGTATAATATAAACTCTTGTTAGTTCAGGTGAGTCAAACACACCCAGGTATTTTGATGATCAAACTTGTTTCATAATTGAAATAATTCTGTGTTACCACAAGTAGAAACACATAAAAACATCTCTACAGATGTTATGTATATCGGAACCACTATTAAGGCTGGTTTCATACAACATTTTGCTGTAACAAATGGATATTTGCACTTGCAAGTCACAAAACACTAATGCAATTTAATCTTGTATTTGCAATTAATCTCTAGAATCACAAGAAATAAGGAAAGGTGAAATGGAATTCAACTTTTGTGGCCATCTTTAGCTTTTAGAGCTCATATGAGTATGAACTACTTATATAACTAAAAGATATGAGCTTATCAAACTCACTTTTAACTCACTGGTAAAGAAACAGAATGAAAAGACAGAAGAGTGCATTAAGATACTATATGTACTAGGGGCACCTGGGTGGCTCAGTCCATTAAGCATCAGACTTCGGCTCAGGTCATGATCTTGCGGTTTGTGAATTCGAGCCCTGGGTTGGGCTCTGTGCTAACAGCTCAGAGCCCGGAGCCTGCTTCGGATTCTGTGTCTCCCTCTCTCTCTGCCCCTCCCCTGCTCATGCTCTGTCTCTCTCTGTCTCAAAAATAAATAAAACATTAACAATTTTTTAAAATAAAAAAAAGATACTATATGTACTTTAATGGAAGAAATAGAAACAAGATGTAAATGTTTTGCAGCATGTTGACACTAAAACACACAAATTGCAACTGCCATTAAGAGATTATTTTTAAAATCTAAAAACAATTTATTTTAAAGCAATCCCATCTATAGCAGTAATTATGTCTACTGACTTTAGGATAAAATAATTCCAAGACAACCTAAATTTCTCAAAGCCAGATTTTGAATTTAAATCTAGTTTTAACATTTATGTTATAGGCTACAAAAGCTATTTGAAACATGATGCACTGTATTGACTCAAAAACAATTTTTCTGAGACTAAAAAAGAACCAGAGAAGAGTAAACGGAATTGAAACTAAATTGAAACGTTTATGCAGATCCTTACTAAAGTTACTGACAAATGCCTATTACACAGTTGTTCAAACTAACGGGGAAATAGACTTACTTAAAAATAAGATCAATTGCTTGAAAAACACTGGGGCAAAACTGTAAAAGGAAATGAAAAATACAAAGGTTCATCCTTTCATTTTCTCTTCCTTTTGGAAAAGCTTGAAAGTGTTGGATTTGTCATAGTGTAACATTTTCTTTTTTTAAATATTTTATTTATTTTTTATTTTTTTTAATGTTTATTCATTTTCTTGAGAGACAGAGAGAGAGAGAGCAAGAGTGGAGAAGGGGCAGAGAGAGAGGGAGACACAGAATCCGAAGCAAGCTGCAGGCTCTGAACTGACAGCGCAGAGCCTGATGCGGGGCTCGAACTCACAAACTGTGAGATCATGACCTGAGCCGAAGTCAGACGCTTAACCGACTGAGCCACCCAGGCACCCTAATAGTGTAACATTTTCATACAAAATCTGTTACACTGTTTCCATATGCATGAACAACATTATTCTACTTGCAATGAGAAAAAGAGCAAGCATTAGATGTTAAATAGTACAAAGGAAATATTCAGACTTGGAGGTGGGCAAAAGTTAAGGCAGCGTGAGGGAGGCAACTTACAGTGAGTGAGAACATTTGCTTCCAAGAAACCCCGATACCTTGATTTTTTTCCTGCAGTTCAATTTGTGAGGTCTTGAAGTCAGGACCTGGAGAGTTTGCACTTAAAACATTTCTCCTCTCCAGAAGCTCTTCCATTTCTTCCACTTGGGCCTTTAGCCTTCTATTTTCTCTTTCCAGTCCTTGTTTTTCTGTTTCAAGTATTTCCCTCTTGTCTCGCTCCAAGATATTTTCAGCTTGCAATCTCTCTAGCTAAATACAGAAAACACAAAGAAGCAACATGTAGCATTTGTAATTATCAAAAGGCAAGGCACCCAGCAAACAAGCTCCCACTAAGAAAGGTTCACAGACACATAGATTTATATAATTTTTAAAAAGAACACTGTATTTGTCTGAAAAGTTGTGAACAACACGAAGATCCTAAGACCAGGCCATGCCCTAGATAAATGCAGTCTTCCTCTTGGTTCATGAGACTATTTCTATAATCGTACAGACCGTATTTGTCAAATAAATATGTCAAATGAAAAACGATAATATTCTGGCGATCATCTCCACTTAAATGATGAACATTATCCATTGGGAAGGCACGAAATAATTTCTTGGGTAATTTTGGTTGGATGGATATAATTCATGTATTCATTCATTTATTATTTATTTACTCTACCTTTATTTATTTATTTACCATACCTTTCAAGTTCCACATATTATACTAATCACTGAGGACAAAGACAAGCGAGTGAAACAAAATAGTATAATCCATAATTAAAGTACTATAAAATATAGTCAAGCACACATGAGTGAGTGGCTAATTGGATTTCCAGAGAATTGGAGGTTGACAACCATGGCCAGGGGGCCACATCTGACCCATCTCTTTTAGTATACCCCATGATAATAGTAGTTTTTCATTTTTTTATAGTTGAAAACAATTAAAAAAGAATACTACTTCAGGCACACTGACATTATACAAAATTCAAATTTCAGTGTGAAAAAAATAAAGTTGTATTGGAATGCAGTCATGTTCATTCATTGACACATTGCTTATGATTATTGTCGCACTAACAATGGCAGAGTTGAACTGTTGAGACAGTGGCTGTATGACCAGCAAAGCCTAGATTATTTACTATCTGGCCCCTTAGGAACAAAGTCTGCTCACTTCCAATTCTGTCCCATGATTCTCAACCACGGCTGCACATGAGATTGCCTTAGGGAGATGTTGGTAATTACTGGTGAACAAGAACCCACCTCTAGGAGCTTTGATTTACTGAACTTAGGGTAATTTTAATGTCTCTCTCCCTTGGTCAGTTTTGTTGTTTTAATATTTTTCTATTTAGATTTTAAAGAGGCAATATCAAACGTGCTTATTTTATTCAGTTTCATTATGTTTAAATATCTGCTCGTTATTATAATGACAATAAATTATAATTGCCTGCTATGATTATTTTTTTTTCTTGTTCTGGATGTTGTAAGTAGAAATGATTAGTAGCTTTTTTAGCTCTAAATTCTAATCCTGAGCTCTGAATTCTAATCTTGACTTCACCATTAATTCTGTGGGTAAATTCGGTCAGGCAACTTAATCTCCCCATGTGGACAATTTATTCTCTAATGTAACAGGGTCTGTGAGAAGTAAAATTAATTAAATTGACAGGAAAACACTTTGCATAGCAATGTTCTACTTAGAGAAAAAACACTGTGGTCATATAATTTTGGGGAAATAATTATATACGTATTTCTCTCATAATTTGAGCATATGTATCTCCAAACGTCAAAGTAATTTTATGGCATACATCTGTACAGTGAAGCCACACTTCACAGTAGAAAAACAAGTAGAAAAATCAGTAGTCCTGATTCCGTCACTTATCATTGTTTGGCTGATTCTGAATACAGCGTTTCCTCTTTTTGTTCCTTTTTTAAAAATAAAATTCGGATGAGAACACCAGACCCACCAAATCCGTGGAATTATAAGGGCTGAATAAAAACAGTTATTTGAAATGCCTTGTAAACTATGTAACATGATTAAAATGTGAGACATTTTTAAACTGTTAAGGATAGAAATTGGAAATTATTCATTTTTACATAGTTTAAAACGGCTTGATTGCAAAGTACTGATTAGTATTATAATATTATAAAGTATTTTTCATGACATTTTAAATTCTAAAAGAGAGATCAACTTAAGGAAAATGTTAGACTTCAAAAATATCTTTGGAAATGAATTTGCATTACAAAATTTCTAAAACACCCTTTTTCATATACACATAATTATACCATTATTATAGAAAATAGTCTGTTCCCAAATCAAAGAGATGTTCTGGCTTCTAAAAAACAGGAAACAAAAATTACATTCTTGAGACTGGACCTTGTGTATCAACTAAATATCATAAACTAAGGGACCAAATTTTAGACGATGTGGTTAAACCTGTGGAGTATCTATTGGGGGATTTAAGGTGAAAACAGTATTTCAAAATCCAATTACCAACATGACATTTCTTTAATTATTAAGGTTCATGCTTAAACTTTTTGACTATCATCATGTCACTTATGAGAATTAAAATAATAAAGCTGTAAGAAAAAAATCATTAACTTAGTGATGAAAATTAATTTTAGGGGCGCCTGAATGGCTCAGTTGGTTAAGCATCCAACTTCAGCTCAGGTCATGATCTCATGGTTTGTGGGTTCAAGCCTCCATGCTTACAGTGTAGAGCTTGGGATCCATACCTAAGATTCTCTCTCTCCCTCTCTCTCTGCCCCTCCCTGACTCATGCTTTCTCTCTCTCTCAAAGTAAATAAATAAAATTTTTAAAAAAAACTTTTTAAAAAGAAAAATTAATTTGGGGAAAAATATATATATTTTGGCCAAGGGGATATATAATATGATGGTATGTCAGGGTATTATGAAACTGTAGGCATTTAAAAGAAATAGATGAAGTCCATTTTATTACTAATAACAGGTAACAGATAGAACTAAGGTTTTAAAAAAGTAATAGATTGTTTGATTGAATAAACTCTAAATCTTTAAAAAAAAAATAAAGGAATGATTTTACCAGTCATAACAACAAATCTTAAATAATCACGTCTGATTATTTGTTATTTGCAGCCTATTAACACAGTGTGATTATATGATAAATTTATGTATACAAGACACAGCAAAAAAGTAAAGGTTATGTGGAAATTGGAACATCACAAATATTATAAGCAGTTTAAAATTTGTTTTAAACATTTATTTATTTTTGAGAGAGACAGAGTGTGAGTGGGAGAGGGGCAGAGAGAGAGGGAGACACAGAATCGGAAGCAGGCTCCAGGCTCTGAGCTGTCAACACAGAGCCCGATGCAGGGCTCAAACTCGCAGACTTCAAGATCATTACCTGAGCCAAAGTCGGATGCTTAAGCGACTGAGCCACCCAGGTGCCTGATATTATAAGCAGTTTTATTTCTGTTTTCATTTCACAAAATTTTTTCTTATCAAATTATTCTTTTCCAAGAATCATATGAAAATCAACCACATTAAAAGCCATTCAACTAAATGCAAGTTAAAAAGACAAAATAAACATCAGGTACTATTTTAAGCCCTCAGATTTATGGTAAGCAATTCCAAGAATCACCAAATTGAATGTAATTCCATTGATTTGCTTCTACTGACCAAGAGAACATCTTAAAATATTTTAATTCTAACTCTAAAATTCTATGAATTTTAACTAATCATAGGTACTATTGTTAAATTTCAGGTAATATGAAAAATTACTGAAAAAATGTTTTCTAAAAATTTTAAGGTAAAAATATATTCTCTTCAGAGTAATCAATATTTGTTGCTTTAATGATTTCCAATGTTATACATATTAAGCACCAAGAAAAATATATAAATACCCAACTGTTCAGGTGTTCAACAATTATTGAGTATCTATTATGTAAGAGGCAATGAATATTCTATTTCCAAAATACAAATAAACACATAGGTATAAAGTGGGTAGAGATTCACGGAGGAGGAAACAACCTGTGTTCTGAGAAAGGCCTGTGATAAATTAGGCAATCAGAGGTTATTTGAATGAATAGTATATAAGCTGAAATCTGAAGTTTAAGAAAGCAAAGAGTCAGAATCAAGGCAAGAGTGTCCCAATAGAGGAAGCAGGAAATAGGTTTGAGCATTATAAGAGGCAAGTGTTCAATCATGGTGTGGGGTAGAGTAGGATATAAAAGGAATCTGGACAAGCAGGCAGTGGTTCTTGAAAGCAAGTGTGAACACAACAATCATTTGAGTTGCTTGTGGAAAATGTAATATTGTGATTATCCTTAAAGATAGAATACGGGGTCATTTATAAACATTTACACCTACTCACTCGATATTCACCAATTATTAGTGCTTGACAATTTTGAGAAGACATCAAAGATCCCAATCAAAGCAATAACTAGAATGTAGGTTTATGAAACCAGAGCTGTGCCATTTTGTTCATGAGTCTGGGACCTGACACAAGCTACGTAAGTGATCTATGAGGAGAAAGTACACAATAGTAGTCTCTAGGAAACAGCATTCCTGTATTTCAATCACAACAATTACACACAAAACAAAATTAAGAAAGCATCCTAGAAGAACCAGTCATTTAGCCTACAGTATGTAACACCAGGAGGATTTCTCAGCTTTACTCTTAAGTCATTTCTCAGCATAGTTCCACTGCATTTTGTGACAGGTGAACGCAGTGACATAAAGACAAGACTTACGGCAAAATGACCTAGAGTTGGGTCCCAATTCTCTTCATCTTGAAAGCCTCCACTTTTCATTTATAAAATGTAGAAAATACTTCCTAGAGCCTAGTCTTATGAGGCAGAAATTCTATTATTTAGGGGAAATATTTATTCCAAACTCAAATATTTCATGTGATAAATTTGTTTTCTAAAGAATAAAACATAGCAATGGCCAAATCAAATAAGGACGGATGGAAATAGTCTATTTCTTTTTCCTATTTTATCAAGATGATGGTCATTTTGTAAATGGACCTTGTCAACTGAGGAAAGCCCCAACAGAGAGCACTGTGTGACATTCTGTAGGCCAGTGAGGAGTCACCTGCAACCGCTGTGGATATGCCAATACTATATTTGCAGATATTCAGAATTTTCATTTCAGCCAAGTCAGCCATAAAATCAGACTACAAACTATGATTTTTGGAAGTTAAAGGTAAAAGGCAGGAAGCTTGCTATTTCCTAGCAGTAAGATGATTACTCTTTTACTGAGGGTAATATATATTCTTGGTAAAGAACCATATAGG